CTGGCTGTTGTCCTGGGAGGTGGACATTCAATGTCTCTCTCTGCACAAAGATTATCAAAGAACTTGCGAGTTTCTGAAATTGTAAACAAAAAATTAGAAAAGCCACCCAAGCAATCATTTTTTGTTCTTACTACATCCTTCAACATATTTTAGAGTGATTTAGAAGATCTTAATGGTAGACATCATGGAAAACCACGGGCTTAACTGTCAATCCACAAAAATAGTGTCTCGCTTTAATAATTTACAGTAAAATATAAGTTATGTTATACTTCAGAAATTTGATACCACCACATGACTGCTGGACATTATTACTGGAAGAAAAAGAAAATCACTTAGAAGTGTATGAATTTGTTTTCTTATGTCTATTGATTCCAGGAATAAAATAGCACATAAGTACATTTTGAAGAAAGTCCCTAATAATCATACACCTAAGCTATGATTGCAGGCACAGAAACTCAACTGCACAAAAGACAGAAGAAATAAGAAGTAAAAAGTTGTATTTCTTCAACAGATCAGGAACTCCCCACATCACACCTCTTGAGTACATCCTTTCACATATACCCAACAAAGGAAGAACCAAAAAGAGTCAGATCCTGTCAAAGACAGCAAGGTATTAAGGCTTCTTTCTGGACTCTTGGGTAAACTGACAAAACCACAGAGAAGTAATCCCATGCGTTAGCACTACCTCAAAAATGCAGCTGACAAATTGCAGGCTGAGAACTTGCTACCTTTTGCCCACTTTCTGTTAAGGAAGAATTATAGGACATTCACATTCAGCATCTAACCTTCAGTTTCAAAACACTCAGTCGGTGGAAATTTCACTCCCAGGGCCTTTTCCAGATCATACACCATGCTGATTCGCCGGAAGGGAGGAGTAAAATCTACCTCGTACGCCTGTCCATCTGGACCATCTGGATGATAAGTGATCTTGTAACTCCCAGTAATATGTTTCACCATCCCTACAAAAGGAACCTCCAGTTTAGAAGAAGAGTATGCCACATAATAAGCAATTCTTCCAGAGATTCTTCCTCTTTTGTTATTAATACTGCATACATCACCTGAAAGCAACTTCTCTGTAATGTCCATCAAGTCGTGGTAGTCTGCGTAAGCCATGTAGAATTCACAAGTTGTGAACTCAGGATTGTGAGTCAAATCGATTCCTTCATTCCGGAACTGACGCCCAATTTCATATACTCTGTCCAGACCTCCAACCACCAACATCTAAACAAAATGGAATTGTAGTAAATACACTGACTTTTTCAAAAGACCTTAAAGAGAGTTCGAACACACAGAACTGCAGCACAATGAGACAAGTCCATCTTTCTTCAAGAATAACTCTCATTTGCACTACATTTACTTTTTTAAAACAGTTTGAAGAATACAGGCTTAGCCACGAGAGGCTTGCATTCTACCTTATGGTAAAGCTCTGGAGCAATTCTCATATACAAATTCATATCCAATTCATTGTGGTATGTGATAAATGGTTTTGCCACAGCTCCACCTGGAATTATATTCATCATAGGAGTTTCAATCTGTAAAATAACAACAAAGATTGTCCTGTTTTCATCAAATCTGTTTCCAAAACAGAACTGCACAGATCAAGCAAACAAACCGCACCTAGTTTTGATGAAAAATCTTTGTATTTCACTTACTGACATTTCACTATATGAAATATATGAAAAATATAGTAAAACAATTCTGAAGTGCATTTCTTTCATGTGGTCAGTAAAAACAAATTATATAATTGATCTGTTGCTATCAAGAGCCATTCATATTTACTACAAACATGAACCTGCTGTTACCAAAGCCAGGAACAGCACCATGACATTACCACAAAATCCTCTCTCTACACTGCAGAAAAAGAAGTTCAACAAAGCCAAGTGAAAGCTCCTGCACATGGGTCAGGGCAATCCAATTTTATCCAAGGAAGTAACCCCTGCTTTTATCTCAAGCAGCAAAACATCATTTCAAAGATGTTGTTTCCACTTAATGTACTGGAATAAGTTAAAAATAGCAGTAGTTTGGAGTACTACATTGATAAAATTTTCCCAAGTCATAACCTCGCCAACTGATGAATAGTCTTAACTTTAAAAAGAGAAGAAAGGAATGGCTCCCATTACATTAAACTGATAAAACACATCATGCTAAGGTAATTATATTACCTCTGTAAGTACTTTGCATACGAGCCTGCATATAAAGCACCCTTGAAGCTGAGAAGCTCTAAACACTTTCAGTATCGGGAAAGAAATAAACACTGAAGCCTTACCTCAAGGAAGCCCAACTCATCTAGAAAATGCCGAAGATAAGTGATGATCTTTGCACGGGTTATAAATTTCTGCCTCACATAATCATTAAGAATTAAATCCAAATATCGCTGACGATACCTAGTTTCCTGAAAAGAACACATACCCTTAGAACAAGCTAGATAAAACGTGATGGAAAAAATATCAAACCAAAACTAATGTTCCTTTGCTGACCGACAACATCAAAAGGTCATCCATTCAGTCCTATCTGTGGCATTCCTGCTCATGGCAGGAGTGTTGGAATTAAATGATCTTTAAGGTCCCTTCCAACCCAAACCCTTCTATGATCTGTCAAATTGCCTCCAAGACTGGCAGGTATGACAAGTACCTTATCTTTGAGGCCAAAATGAAGATGAGGCAACATGTGCAGGCATGGAGATAACAGAGTGATTTCATATGGAATAATACTCAGTTCCCCTTTCTTTGTTTTCCCAGGATTCCCCTCTACACCAATAATGTCCCCACGACGTAGCTTGTTGTTAACATGGAAATACTCTTCCTCGGATTTGTAGAAGCTGTAATTACAAAACAAATGTAAGCAGGTTTGTTTAAAATTCAATCTTCCAAACTGTCCTCAAGTCTCTCCCAAGGCCAAATCCTTCAAAAAAAAAAAAAATTTACTCATCAGGGAAGACAACCACAACATCCTAAGCATAACATTATCTGGCTGCCTAAGCCAACCCACAGACAAAATAGAATACTCAAATACAGATGTCTAGGCCCCAAAATACAGTGCTGTATAGAATGCTACTGGGAATACCTCTCCTTACCTGGAATTTGCCATGATCTGCAGCTTGACTCCTTCACCACGAAGATCATAGAAAATCAGTTTCCCTCCAGAGGCACGCTTTGCATGGATTCGACCTAAATATCAAAGTATGCAGAACATCAGGAAAAGAGTCCCCAGCAGAAAGGAAACAGGGACAAGAGCCACAGAATTATCACTTAGACAAAGATTCATCATCTCTGCACTGAGCAGAGCGGAAGTACTGCCGCTGAGTCTAATCCCATGCCATGAGAGCTTCAGGCATGATCCTGAAAGCCCAGGCGGAGCAAAACTGTTGCTGACTGTGAAAGAGAAGCAGTTAAGTCTCAAAGTTAATACCATATGCACTTTAGGTCCTGGAGCCCACATTACAATCTGATCTTCTAGTTGTAAGGGATGCTGCACAGGTCCACTCAGTTTGAAGGGACATGTCCCAAATTGTTTAACATTGCTACAGACTTCACGACCGAGGATCGGCAAAATTCAAAAAGAGACCAACCCATCAATAAAAGCAGCTAAGACTTTACATATTTCTGTATCCCACATAAGCCTTTACCTGCCACTCTCACTGTAATGTCTTTCAGGTGATCTCCTGGCTGCAGGTGACTGTACTTGTCTATAAAATCTGAGAGAGATAAGTCTACATGGAACTTGTGGGGATAGGGATCTTCACTGGTGCCCTTCAGCTGCTGGATTGCATGGGTACGAATCTTGAAGTATTGCTGTTACCAGAAACAAACAAAACCAAACGATTTTATTAGAATCTGAAAATATATTACAGGGTGCAAATCAAAATGCAGCTGCCCTTATACAGGAAAAGCCATTTTGTTACTCACGAAGAAAAAAATAAAATTTAAGTCAATAAGATTTATTCACAGAACAGCAATAAGCATGAGACTAGATGCTCACATTTGGATCCAAGCTTTCCTCATCAGCTCCAGCATTATTCTCAGACGTCAAGGAAGGCTTATTTGAATCCTTTTCACTTTGCTCTTTCTGCTTTGCCTCTTTTTCAGCTATTTTTCTCTCAGCCTTTAAACGTCTCTTCAGCTCACTGCAAAAGAGAAACCAGATGTAGCAGGTACCCTGATACTTCTACAGGGAAACAATTATACAGTAAGATTTTGGCAGGATCCTGCCAAATAACCCTGTCACTTCTCTTAATCTGCCCAAAAGTCAAGATAATGCTTAAGCACGTTTGAACATTTTATTCTTTGAACTCTTTTAGTTCATATCCTACGATACAAATGATCAAGGAAAGTGAAAGCGAAATTAAACAGCGGAGACAACGCCTAAGCGTCCAGGGGCATTCCACACCCATTTTACTACAATGAGCCTGGCAGCCCCACGCAGCGTGAAAGTGAAACAAGGCAAGGTCCCCACTGCAAGAGGTCAGGCGAACGGAAGGTTCCCGAAGCCGCCTTCGCGGTCCGGCCCGTTTCCCAGGGCACTCAGGCTCCTGCCACGCTCCCGACCCCGCCGTCCGGGACTCCGTGAGGACAGAACTGGTCCGAGCCAGACGCAAAGCACCGACCTGCTTCGGTCATGAAGCGCCTGCCGCCATCGGAGCGCGGGCGCGGCCCTCCAGGCCCAGCCGCGGAGCCGCGCGGCGACGGGGCTCAGCATGGGGCTCCGCCGGGTGCCTGGGCGGAGACACGCACCGGGTCAGCCGGACACTCGCCTCGCCTCACTTTCACCTTCACCTTCAACTTCACCTCCCCGGCCCGGCCCCGCCTGCCCGCCCACCCTCACTTTTTGCTGAGGTGCGACTCGGTCTCCGCCGCCTCGCACGCGCGCTCTGCCGCCGCCGCCGCCGCCATCTCCCGCTGCCAGCGCCGCCTTCCCGGCCTCCCGCCCCTGCGCGCGGGATAATGGCAATGGGTGGGCACGGGGCGGTGATGGGGGCCGGGCACGGGGCGGTGATGGGGCCGGGCACGGGGCGGTGATGGCGATGGGCGGGCGCAGGGAGGGTTGGCGATGGGAGCGGGGAGGGTTGGCGAGGGGCGGGCCTGAGGCAGTGATGGCGGGCGGGCCCGAGGCAGTGATGGCGGGTGGGCGCGGGGCGGCGATGGCGGGCGCCGCGGCGGAGGCGGCGCGGTCCCGGTCGCTGTTCCTGTGGGACGACGGGCGCCCGATGCGGTTCTACGTGCGGCCCGGGGCGGCCAAGCTGCGCCTGGCGCCGCTGGTGCTGGCGGGCGGCGGGCGGCTGTGCCGCGTGCAGGAGCCCGGGGCCGTGCTCCTGGCGGAGCCCGGCGAGGCGGCTCCCGGCGGGGCCGTCTCCACCGAGTACGTGACGGAGTGCGTGGAGCGCAACGAGCGGCTGCCGCTGGAGCCCTTCGTGCTGTCCGCTTCGCTGCCTCCCGCCGCCGCCGCCGCCCCCGCCCCCGCCCCGCGCGGCCGCCTGGCCTTCACGGCGGCGGAGGACGCGGCGCTGCTGCGGGCGGTGCGCGACGGGGGCGCGGCGCGGGCGGGCGGGCGGGCGCTGTGGATGGAGCTGGAGCGGAGCGGGCTGACCCGGCACAGCTGGCAGGCCATGCGCGACCGCTTCCTGCGGCACCTGCGGCCGCTGCTCGGGGGTGAGCGGGGGGCACACGGCGGGCAGGGCGGGGGTGGCGGGGCCGAGCGCGGGCCCGGGCCCCGCTGAGGCCCCGCTGACGCCCCGCTGACGGTGCCCGCGTGTTTCCGCAGAGCCTCTGCAGGCGGAGGAGACCTCGCAGGTCTCGGGTCTCTTCGCGGCCAATAACCAGGAGTTCGAAAGCGCGGAGGTGAGTGGGGCCAGCCCGGGCAGCAGCGGTGCCGCGAGCGGCTCGGGGCCGACCCTCCCCGGTGTCACAGGCGGCAGCATCCCTACGCATGATTAACAAGTGAAATGCCTTTGCATCGTGACATACCTTCTGCGGCTAAAGGGGAGCTTCTTGTGAGCTGACAGCTACGTAGCTTGTGGTGCACGGGGCCTTGCTGCCACAGATTTTCTTAACTTTGTTCCCTGCCCAAGTTAACATGAGGAGGTTTATGTGATGGGGTTGTCATGTTAAAACCTGCATTGGCAAATAGAAGTCATCCTTTCATCTCAGGCACAAAATGTTCCTGCCGCTGCATCATCACTTTTGCTTTTTATGCTTCGTTTGTTCAAAGTCTCCCTTGCATTTCATGCCTTTCTATGATCAAGTGTATCTTCATTAACACATACAGCTTAACTTCAGTAATTGAATTTTACCATGCCTAGTAATTTCTGAGGTTTTTATATACTGCAGAGTCACAGTGGAAGGTAGTTGGTAGCAGTAGTAAAAAAAGCTGGTCAGAAAATACCATATCTAATCGGTGACTCCACTTCTTTTACTCTCAGTCAGAAAGCGACACTTCGGATGTTTCAGAAGAACTTTCTACACAAGATGAAGGAGGATATTCCCCAGGAGAAACAGCATCTGATTTGAAATCTGGACTGGAGGACTCTGCTTTCCCTGACACTCAGTTACAAAGGGAAGAAAGACCAACAAGCACTTGTTCTTCCAGCGTGGTGGGAGAAGTAGTAAAAACTATGCAGCAGTTCATGGAGAAGTTCAGTGTGGACCTGTTCACTGTTACACAGGCCTTTCTGAAAAACAGTGGTGAAGTGGAGGCTACTTCAGACTTTCTGCAGATGGGGCAGCGCTTGGATGGGTACCCTGTATGGAGCAGAGAGGATGATTTAGAATTGCAAAAGGATGATGAACATGTCAGAAATAAATTGATAGCCAAATTTGGAGCTGAAAATGTAGCAAAGCGGATAGCATTTAGGAAGAGTTAGCAAGAGGAGGACGACTGATCTAGGACTGTGGCAGGAACTTTATAGTCATTTCAGAAATGTGATGGAAAATTTGATCAACATTATGAAGTTTCAATGCTTTAAAGTAATTTTTTTAAATAAAAGGCCCATTTTTATCTCTACGGGTTGAAGTGTTGCAGCTTCCTTAATCCAGGCAAAGTAACACATGTACCAGACCATATATTCTAGTTAGAAAAAGTACACCAGCTTCCAGAGCCATGTGCAATAATAGAAGTAGGAGAGACAAGTTAACTAAGAGTGCCCAGAGTTAAGGTATCACCTAAATTGTGATAGTTGCTAGCATACAGTCACAATCTTGAAAACTCGGTAATTTTAGCACGTTGTGCTCTGGTCACATCATATTATTTGAAGTGAATCCTATAAATCTGGAGTTCATTCTTTTGGTGAAATTAAATGGGCTGGTAAAACCATTTTTTTTTTTTCCTAAAGATTTATATTTTGGGTTTTTTGCTTATTGCACTGTGGCACACAAATTAAGGTGGATTGGGAAATTGCCGATTTTAAGCCAAATTCAGATTATCTTGAAAGTAAGTAACAGTTTGATATAATGAGACTGCTATTTCAGGAAACCACGGAAACATCTGAAACACCAACTGAGTGTTGGTGAGTTAACCAATGTAACCAAATAAATGCTGAAACTGCACTATGCAGTGTTTCACTGGACAGGTCATTCCTTCTGAAAAAACACTAATTATTTGGCACATTCATGCCATTTAGGCTGGTTATTTGAGACTTGTGTGGAAGGCCAGACAAGCACTTAACAAGGGAGTGCAAGACATCACAGCAAACAGAATAGTAAGAATTTTAAATTAGAAACTTTACCAGCTGGATTTGAAATCCAAGTACTGCTGATGACCAGGTTCATCAACAGGAGATCTGTCACCCCCTGCAGCAAAAAGCTTCCCATTCCAGGAAGCAGAAGTTAAAGTAATTTTCAAAACAGTACACTAAGAAAATGCATTATATATTACTTTTATGTCATTTGTTTACTGACTGACTGGAAACACTATCAAGGCTTTTGTTCAGGTAAACATTTGATAGATAGCATTGACTGAGTCCACTGAAAACAAGTATTTATAATAGAACTTAAGTCACTCAAGCTGACGTAAAGATATAATTAGCAATGTATTGAAAAGACTATATTTGCTCAAAATCAGGCTTCTTGGCACTTAAAGTAGGAAGCTCTTTACAATAACTTCAATAAGAAGAGGCTTCTGAGACCCCATGCTATTAGCTGGATATGTTAAGCTCTATTTTAAGGGGACTTTGAAGAAAAACTGGCTATGTGGTTCTCTGGCACAGTACAAGTCCCACTTCTCTGTGTCAGCCTACCTGCCCCAAGTTTGCACAAACACTGTGTAAAGGAAGATGCCTTGCTTTCAGTGGACTTAGTACCATGATGCCAGTGCTGCCTGCTCAGCATGGATTTTGTCATTCAACAACAAGATCCCCCATAATAACACTATTATTTCCATAATACAACATCCCACCCTTTGCAGGGATTAGAGGTTTAGCTGTAGGAATATAGATATCCACATTGCTAAGGTAGCAAGTGATCTGTAGATGTGTGTTAAAGGGAATCCACAACTTACATGTGAAAGAGATGTTTAGGAAGAGGTATTTGTAGGCATTTCAGTCCTCCCCAAGTCTGGTAACAAATTTTTCTCCTTGTCTTCTTGAACACTGTTAAAACTTGGTAAAAATAATTCTGTTGTTCTGGTTTGAGCTACATATTCCCATTGGAGGTGGGAGAATGGCATCTGCAATTGTGCCATGGGCTTCTTCAGTCCACTCCCATAAACCTATCTTCCCAGTCCAGTATTTATACCAATGGAATCTGTGTCCTTACCTTGTCTTTAGGATCTCAACCTTACCATGAATTCCACTGTCACACATATGGACTGTGAGAACTCACGGGGTACAACTATTCTCAGGTTTGAAAGCTAAAAGACAGAATTATTTCAAGTAAAAAAAGAAATGGATTCATATAATCCCAGAAATGGATCCCCACATGCAAATCCAAGAGTTTTTATTTTCAACAATAGCAGGTTTATTCCATTTTCCCATTATACAGTAAATGAACACAAACATTTCCCCAACACTGCCAGCAAGGCTGGATACCCAAGCAAAGGAATGAAGCAAAAGTAAAACTGGGCTTGAAAACCGTTCAAAAAAAAAAAGCATCTTTCCAGAAACCAAATGTTGGTCATCCTTGCATCTCTTCTGGCATTACATGTCCCGTGTAGCAGCATGACAAATAATGTTCTCTCTATTCAGCTTCCTTTTATATTTCCTCTTCCTTTGCAGTGCAATTGCTTCCATGTGGGGGGGTCGAGTTCTGCTATCTGGTCCCACTGCTTTGCTAGTCTGTATGCTCCAATCTAAACATACTTAATTTGAAGAACAAACTTGCATTACTTCAGCCTCCATTGTGGCTGAGTCTCCAGGGGCCTTAGAGAGCGACCCTGTGCTGCTGAGAGCTCTCGTGAATGCAGTCAGGATTCCTATGTTACCTGTCCTTGCAACCATGCATATCCATGCACATGCTCTTACACTTCTATGCCTGCACCTCTGTCCTCTTTTGTTCTAGTGGACAGTTCTGCCCTCTGCAGCCTTCAGAGAGTAGGTACAGACACCAGCTGTTCTGCCTTCAGAGTTTGATACTCAGAGGAGTTCTGGGCAAACAAAAGATCCAGTGACATATTTTTTTGCTCTTCTTCAGATTGGACGAGCCGATAGCCCAGTAAGTCCATTGCATCCTTGCACACTTTTTGCACTTTTTCTATTTTCTGGAAGGGAAGTGTCTCCCTCCAGGCCTGAGATACTCTCTGTGCATCTCTGGACCCAATTCCAAAGGCCTGTCCTCCGAGACCCTTCCCATGAGTGATGTTGTGCACCCACTTCTGAAGTTCTGGTGTGAACTGTAGTTCTGCAAACCTGTACATCTGAGCAGCCCTTGCCAGAGGGTCTCTGACAATGTCTTCATAGCGAACCAGCAAGTATCTGTCTTTCAGGAAGCTGGGAGTGGCCCAAATTCCTGCCTTATAAATCTCAACATGACTTCTGCAAATTACTTGCATTGTGTTGTAGGGGCCCATTTCACCCTTTGTCCTCTGAGACCCCACAATAATGTTACTGTCACGTTTCAGGTCTGCCGCTGTATTCTCACGGGACCTGAACACAGCCCGGGGATCACGGACCAAGTGAATAATTTTGATGTTCAGGGATGGATCAGTGAGAAGGGGGTAAAGGACTTTCAGGTCAAAGAATCGAACCTCCTTGATGGCAATATGGCTGTAGGTTTTACAAGCTTCCTCCACCTTGCTGAATGGGTACTTGCTACAGATCTTTTTGCAATTGCCTGCAGTGATTATGTCAGTGCGACTGAACAAGTCGCAGGCAGGTGGGGAGCACAAGGCTCGGCTTGTCTCCCATTGAAATAAATCGGACTTTTTCTTCTGGCTAGACATGTAAGCATCAAACACAGACATGTCACACAGAAAGACCGACCTAACTAAGTCCCGCACTGCCATGTGTAAGACTTTGGCACTGTTCTGGTACATCTTAACCCAGACATGCCATGCGGGCTCCATCAGGTAGAAAACGCTGGGGTGCTGGCTGAAGATTTGCCCAGTGAAGGAAGATCCTGATCGCCAGGTGGAGAGAATGAGGATGTGGACTGGAGAAGGTTTTTCTTCCATGGGGGCATTGTTGCTGCAGGGCAGGAAGTGGATCAGGAGAAAGGACAGAACTACCAGGATCAGGAGCACATACACTCTTTTAGACTTCACCATGGTTGCAAAGGACCTGCAGAGACAGAGGAAGTTCAGCATCACAGGATCACAAAGAAGGCAGGACGTGGTGCATCAGGCTCCTGTGGATTTCTTTGTAGGCACGGGGTTTTAGAAAGCTGTCACAATACCAATGACATTGTGACAAACACTGCACAAGCCTTCTTTGAAAAGGACGTAAGTTCTGCAGGGCTGAAGGTTTTCTGTAACAAAACCACAATTTGTCAGTAAGTTTGTCTAATGTTGTCAGTAAGTGTTGTCTGATGCTGTCCTAGAAGATACTGAAAAGCTTGTCTGCATTTTTATTGAAGTTTAAGAGCTAGTTGAGTGCATTGAAATAAATCCATACACACAAATGTGTACTTCATGTACACAAGCCCTGCAGACATGATCTGGGCAATTTTTATGAAGAAAAGATGTAAAAAACCACTTTTTTTGTGGAGAATTCAACAGTTCCACATTGTTACTTTTAAACACTTGCTCTGACCACCAATTACAATTATTTTAATGCCAAAACGCTGTAAACATACAATATAGGTTTCAGGGGTTTTTAATTATATTCTTTTTGAAATTTCAGGAAACATTTATTATCACCACAGGCAAAAACTCACATACCAAAGGAAGTAATTTGGCACTGTGATAAATCCAAGCACAACAATATCTCCTCCACAGTTAAAGCATCATAAGCAATTTTGCTAGAAAGGCCTACAAGTGTAGGCAGGCTTAATGCTTGCCTGCCTACTAGCCCTCTTCTTAGCCTAACTCCTTTTTAAAGACTGTCTCCTGCTACCCTTCTTCCCAACCCCACTCATTCCATAGGTCTTGTATAAGAAGAGGTACAATAGATTGTGCTAATTGAACTCAAAGTTCTGCCCAAAGCTGGCTCCTTGTTTCTCACACTAAACCTCTGTTTTAAAAAGTACATTAAAGCATGCTCTGCCAACTGCTTCTGTCTTGTGCTCTCTCCTTCCCTTCCCCAGCAGTGCCTGACTGTGCCTCAAATACAGAGGAGTGCTCGCAGCACTGGCCACACTGGCCAAATTTGCAGGGGGGTGCCTCCTCCTATTATTTCAGTTCCTCTAGTACTGATGTTTTAGATTTTCAGGTACAGTCACTGCTGCTAACCAGCTAGGAACTCATCTGTCCCTCCAACATATATGCATAAGTTGACTTGTTTATCTAAGCTATCTGCTGTGCATTGTTTTGAGCTTAGGTTTATAAGGCAGCTATTACAATTTTTCAAAGCCAGGACAATAACCAGCCCAATGGGTAAGCCTGTAAGTGCTACCACAATATGAATTTTCCTTTAATAATGTCTTGCAGGGATAGGGCTGTGCATTTAGTAAGGGACCACAAGTTTCTGGTCTCCTGGACAAGAAGCCCACTGATTTTTTTGGTTACACAAATGGCCTGTAGTGTTCAGGTCTGACGATAAGCTGAATCAGGTCGCTATTTGGACCAACCCAGGAAAAGCTGCAAACAAAGAGTGTTGTAAAAATCAGTCACTTATCAGCTTCCTTCTTGCAAATACAATGCAAGGAATACAGTAGTGTTTACCAAAAGTCCTGGCTTCCAAATTAACTTTGACAATATCTCTTCCATCTGGCGCGATTAATATTTTTACTCTAACTCCTCACAGAGTTCCTGGACTACAGCCAGAAGTTATTAATCAAGAAAACTCTGTTGAGCAAACATGAACACCGGCATGAAAATGCCCAGGCAGGTTTAAAACCACAGAAATAATTATTTCTATGGGAACTTGCATGCAAATAGTCTGAGAATGGATTTGATAGGGGATGTTTTTATCTTGAATCAAATCAGGGTGGGATAGCTGCATGTTTTAGACATTTGACAGAGTATGCAGGCCATTCCTGTGACTGTTCTTGGTAGAAATGACCTCGTGTGAGGCCACAGCCTCAACAGCTTCTTCACTCTTATACAAGAAATAGTGATGATTGTTGCCCTGAGAAGTCTGTTCCACAGAGGGCAGGACTGAAATGACTTGTGTGCCTGGTGAAGTGGAATAGAGTAGCAGCAAAGAACAGCAGAGGTTGTATCGTACCTTCCCTAATACGGTATGAAATACCATACCTAGAAATACTAGTTACATAACCTTATTCTTCACCACTGCATCTCTCAATCATGGCAGCTGGGATATTTCTAAACTAAGGTCTAAACATTTTCCCCACGGCAAACATCCAGAGTCACCAGGGATTCAGTTAATTTCATATTGCAAAAGTGAAAATATGAAGCTCTCATAGAGCTGCTGAGTAAAGATCAGCCCAGAATGATTGAGACAATCTCAGCTGCAGAACAAAACAAAGGCACACTGCTACTGTGTGCTGGCAAAGAGATGAGCCAGGATTTGGCTGAGAGCAGAAAGAATAGGAAGAATCTCAAGGTACAGAGGATGAAGTACAGGAACTACTGAAAAAAATGACAATCCAGTGTTGCTGTGTTAGTCTCCCACAGCCAATGTATGAGAACACAAAGAGCTGGGATCTGCCTGCCTGAGCAGCTAGAGTCTCAAAAAAAAAAAAAAAAGCAGAGTTTTATGCTTTTCCAGAAAGACACAGGGACCTTGGAAAATCTTGATCCCGGCAAAGAGCAAGCATTACAGAAAGCAACAAGCAGCCCAAGGGAAATCTACCCATCAAACACACTCTGAGCATTGGGTGGCCTGTTCCCAGAGTACAAAGTTTGTGGTATTGAGTGGCATGTCCCCAGGGTTTGTTGAATCTATACATGCCTGGGGTGGGTGTGAGATAGCCCAAAATATCTCGTGCAGTGCAGACTGGTGTTAAGTGCTCTGCCAGTGTGGGGGAGTTCTCCAGACCTGTACACATTCCCCACTGCTGTAGTGGCAGCAGTATAGCAAAGAGGATCTGGTGCCAGGGAAGCCCCAGGCACTCATCTTTGATGGCACTGATGGTTGCTCATAGTTTTTTCAAATGCTTCTTCAATTTGTCCTGGTCATCTTCTGCAGAATTAGAAGTCATCTGCCCGGAGGAGAGCAGCTGGCATGACAGTCAATAGTGGGAAAAGCTAAGCAAGGGCACTGAGAAGACAGCCTGTAGAAGCAGGAGCTACCCTCTAAGTCAGGCCAACAGCTTCTGTCTGCAGGAAGAATCGTAGTAATTTGCTGGCATCTGTACGTTTGCAGTGTTTTACAAAAGTTATCTCCCAGTTCAGGCTGCTGAGCATGAGCAGTGACTACAGTTCTGGGCACAAGAGCATCCACACCAGATACCAAGAAATGGTTGAAAATCTCTCACCTTAGCAAAGTCCTCTTGAAGCACCACCAGGCCTGATTCAAGCAAAGTTGCCCTCACATCCGTTCACTGCTGTGGTACACAGCCCTCTAGGCAGTCACACGAACACTCTGCCTACGTGCTGGGCTCTCATATACACATGTTCTCAGCTCCCACCTACACCTGTGGCTGCTCCCTCCCGTCCCCTTCATTTGTGTACATCCCAGCTCTAAGAGTGACTGCTCTGCACTGCCCGCCTACTTTGATCAGCCTTGAACTAGAAAAGCTCCACCCTGCACTGAGCACAAATCATCATACTGGGAGTTTATTGCAGGGGCTCAAATGACCAGGAACTGCTAATAAAGGAGCAGGACCAGAAAGTTTATGAAGGAGACTGAGAAGTGCTTTTAAGCTAAGTCCTGTTGCAAGCTCCCAAAGAGATGGCTCTCTATAAAAGGAGGAACAGGGATGTCTCTGGAGTGTCAGAGCTTGCCCATCAGGAGTGCAGAGACAAGGCATATTTTCCTACCATTGCTCTGGCTGCTTGTCATGTTATCAGCAAATGCAAATTCACATAAAATCTTTTTGTCTCTTCTCTGTCTGTGCCTTGCTTGAATTAAATATTTGGGGTGCTGGGGAAGAAAATTATGTGAAAGGAGAAGCTGTGGAAGGAGCAGCTGGACTTGGCCTGTTAATGATTCACAAAGGTGCTGGAGCTGCAGTGGGGCTGTGGCAGGTAAGGTAGTGAGCCAGGGCAGCACTGGGCTCAAGAGAAATACTACTGTGCAGAGACAATTGCTTTGGCTCATTCCTATTCCAGGTCTTATAGTTTCTGTCACACAGTTTGGAGAAATGTAGACATCCTCTTAATGGTGTCCACTGTCCCCAAGGACATCATTGACATGCTCTCAGGGCAAGTGGAGTACAGGAGACAGCAGAAGCAAAAAGTCTGGGTAAGGTTGGTTCTTCCAGCAAGAAAAACAACCCAAATGGGGCAGATCATGTTCCCTTTCACTTTCAGCATTGCCAACACAAATGGTCAAGCCCTGGTAACCCTGGGCTGGGAAACAAGGTGAGAAGCTGGCAGTGGCCCAGGTAGGGCCCTGTAATGAACCATGCAATGTTTTTTACAACCTGGATTTCAGCTGTATGTTCCCATGCCCTGCACTGACACCATCCGTAGGAAGGATTCACCTGTAGGTCATGAAGTGTTCAAAACCTTTGTAAAGGTCACACCACTTGAGTGGCTCTTCCTGAAGCGTTATTCTTCCCTGGCCAACAGTTGCATGAACAGAGATGTATCAAAATTTCTGTTCCAACTGCATGTAGTTTGCCTGAGGGTGTGTCTTTGACAGCTGATGAAAGAACAAGGCATACCTGGAACAGTGAAACCAGCTCAGCTGTAAGGTTTGACTAACCCCTGTCTTCTGCCATCATCAAAAGCAGATGCCTAGGGGAGAGAACAAGAAACACATTTCCTCCTTACATGCTCTCTTGGCCTGAAGCCAGGGATCTGGAGGACACAACTCACCTCTCTGAACGGAATTGTCCAAAATAAACTAGTGAATGATGCCCTGGAAGTTCTTGTTCCTTTCTGTTGGCTATGACAAGAATGGAGGGTGATGCTTGTGTAAACACAGAAGCTGTCTAAACTCAGCTCAGATTAACCTTGTCTTTGCATTTGACAGCACCTAGATCTTTTTTATATTCACTTCTCCAATCATGTTTTGAACTCAGATACTTTTGACATCAACAAGATTTCCTGGCAATGGAGGTATATTGGGCTGCATGTTGTGAGAACTATTTTCCTCTGTTTTGAATCTACATATAAAAACTGTTTTTGATATTATCACATTTTTTTTTTAATCAAGAGAGACAACTAATAATTTCTTCCTACTTGTAGTCTTCAAGCTATTCAAGATTTTAATATCTGCTCTTGCATGCCCCACAGAACAGTTCATAGCAGGTTGATAACTAAAGCAGCTCATGGGAATCATGCTGTGGAAGTCTCTGTGTCTTTTAGGTATATGTTGGGATGGTTCACATTTTCTGCATCCCAAAGGTTATGACACCAGGGAGCTGCTGGAATGACTGCACTGGTGAATGCTTACCACAGAAAGATGTCTCCCTTTCAAAGCAGAGGGAGCTCAGTTGCTTCCTAGCTGACACCACTAAAGCTGTAGAGGAAAGATGGAAATTTATGGCTCTGCAAGATTGAGTGTGACAGAAAGCTGTGATGTGGCTGCTCACATAGAGGCTATGTACAGTCTCCTGTGCTGATCACTGGATTTGAGTACTGCTATATTGTTGTGTTTTGAATTGTACAGGCAAAACTCTGCTCCTTGCAGAAAAGAAACCTGACAGTAATCTAAAAAAAAAAAAAAAAGAACACAACTCTGTGTCAATTGCTCATCATTTTCATCTGGATAAAGGCAACAGAGTGGAGCTCTGGCTTTAGGAAAGAGCTTTTTGGTAGGGATGCTCTATACAGTCACCCTAGTTGCTTAAGAATTCATCATTCACAGAAGATGGAAAGAAAATGCAGCAGTGAGGCAAGCCCCAGAATCCATAGGAGCAGAGCTGCAATGTCTATGCTAAACTCCAGTCAGAGCAAGTTTTTTCTGAGCCAGAGCTTCTAGAAAAAGGAAGAATGAGACAAATGACTGATATGATGTCCTATATGAGGCATCTCTCCAAGGACAGGCTGGTGTGCTTCTGCACTGAAGTTGCTATGGCCTTTTCCTTGTGTTAGAGATAAGTTTTAAAGTTATATTTTTATTTAAAAGCAGTTTGAGATAAATAGATGTATCTTAATTGGCACATAAGTACCCAAAGTTGCCGTAGGCAAGAGCAAGGATAGTGGCTGACCCCCTCCCTCTCTCACCCTGAGTGCAGTTGCAGTATCATTTATTGTTTTTATTGTAACATGGCATTCTAATATCAAGTGGCGGGAGAACAGGAAAATGATGAAAACATGAGAGAAAACAAGAAAGAAGCTTGTATAAATCAGGCTCTAAAAATGAGGTCACATAATACTTTACCAACACATTACAGGAAAGAGAAAAATAGTAAGAAAAAAAGTATTTATTCAACTTTTGAATTAATTTCACTGGTCAGCTTCTGCCTTCTTTAAGTACATAGGCAGTCATCAGCAAGGCACTGAATCTTAGAGCAGAACAGCTAGTTTAGGGTTGAGAGAAACAACAGCAATAAACAGACCTGAAGCATGCAGAAGCTCACACAGTGCACTGGAGTACAGAAGATCCTGTGCTAGCACCAACTACTTCTGCCAGGCATCCAGGAAATAAGTCATTTAGATCATTGACAGTGCCTATGTGCTCTGGCAAAGCTTCAGGGAACACTGACCCAAGTCAAATAAGAAAACTGAAGACAATACACGACAAAGCAAAGGGCTGGTATAGATCTGGGCTCCCAGCACTGTGATAGCCTGTGCCTGACAGCCAAACCACGAGGAAGATCCTAGTGCTTCTGCCCCCTAGGAGGCTCTCCCAGTGCTGGGGACGCAGGCTCAAGGCCAGTATAGAAGATATAACCATAACCTTCTTCTGACCAGTTAAGCTTAGCTAGCTTTTAGGTGCCTTCCAGTGACTGGAATCCTGCTAAGGCTGTGTCTTTCATGGCTGTCCTGTCAATAGCAAGACTTTGCCTGCACTGAGCCTTCCTTCTCCTGCAGAACTCCTCTGCCCTCTCACACTGGTTTGCAAAATCCCTCCCAATCACCTCAAGCAAGTATTGTTTCCCAGCCCACTGCTGCTGCCTCCTCTTACATCCACAGTCTTCATGGCTACTTCTCATCCTCATGGAAGCCTATCTGTGCCTCCCTTTGCTGTGTGTCTTGGGTAATGCCACCAGAGCAAGTCAGCTCCTCTAGCCTCTGACAGGCCTGCACAGCTTGGGAGAACAAGGTTACGTGCCAGCCCTCATGTACAAAGAAGTGTTGCATGGACACCTTCCCCTGGGTCCCCTGGGGTCCCACTCCCGTGCGATGCTCATGCCTCACCTGAGCTCCCGGGCACGCTGGGCCCTGGGTCACCACAGCCTCCACCTTCATGCCCAGACTGACTCCCTGCAGCCATCCTGGGTCCAGGTCAGTGCAAATCACATCTTCCCACTGCAGGTGTACAGAGTGACTATGTGCTGGTGGAGAGCAGGCCAGTGCAGACAAGTTCTTGCAGCCAAAAGCCATGGCCCCAAGGCAGAAAGACCCTCAGGGACCCCTCTGTTCTACAGCCCTGCTGGAAGCAGCCAGGGCTGCTAGAAGAAGGAGTGGGTGAAGCCAGGGGCTGGGCTGCATTCAGGTTCCTAAGGCACCTGGGGTTGCTGATGGCCTCACTGCTGGCAGGTGTGATTTGGCCCTGCTTGCCAGCAGTGCTGAACCCCACTGCCAGCCCCTTTGGAAGCTGAGGACTAGTACACTTCACCTGCATTGGCCCCTGAGCTGAGAAATTTCTTCCTTTCCCAAGAAGAGCACTAGGCACAAGGTTGCCTCTCTGCCTAGGTCCCCATATCTGAGGTAGGTCACTCTCCTCCTAAACACAGCCAGTCCAGAGAGCACAGTAAAGAGCAGAAGCACACTGCAAGCCTCTGCCAGGGTGTACCACTGGTGCTCCCCAGCTAAGACAGGGAGGATGGCTGTGGATCAGTGTGTGTGAGCTGGCAGAGGCAGGATGCAGGGACAAACACAAAACCACAGATGAAATACAGAGTAAATTTATTTCCATTACCTCACCAACCAGAGGATCCTCAAAGCAGTACCCAAAGCCAGAGGCACACAAACAGGGATGCCACCACTGCGGAGCCTGGTCCTTGCTCAAGGGTCACCAAACCTGCTGTTTTCACCTGCATATTAGGGATTATTGCAGGCATAGTTTACCACTGATATTTGATCTTTACCACAGCAGAGCAGGAATCCCAAGCATGTTCAGTGGGGTGCTTCTCAGCCTATCACATGGTTGTGTTATCTAAACACAGATGTACTACTCATCAAGGCTAAACAACAACTAGTACAATACATGTGTTTTTCTACACCTCACCTCAGCTGCAAGTCACTTGGATTTATCTACAATCCTCCTCACCAATCTTATGTTACTTTCCAACTATCAGTCATAAGGCCTCTCAGGGAGTTCTACTAAAGCCCTGCAGACCTTGTCTAAACATCTGCAAAGAGCAGCTTCAGGACAGTGTCTTGACTTCTTCCTTGGTCTCATTGCTGAAGGGGTTTTCTTTGGCACAAAGCATCTCCAAACACCAGCTTAGGCTAGTTTGTATGGCTGGCAGGGTGCTCTAGGCTACACCCACATTATGACGCAAAGCATCTGTGAGTATAATACCTGAAAAACGATACCAGCACATTTGTGGTTTAATGTTAGTTTGCTATTGCATCCAGGAAAACTTAGGTGTGGTCAAAAGGCAGTGTTATATTTGCAAAAGATGGCAAAAGAGGATGTGGCCTTGAGAAATCTAAATATGCTGAATATTATGAGTATGGCTCCCTCAGCATCCCAGGCCAAATGCTACTGGGTCAAGAAGAAATAGAATCAGGTTAATTATTGCAGAATATTTGCAAGTTAACAGACACCTTTGAGAGGACTCTGAAAGGAAAGGGGTTCTTAAAGGGAGAGTGATCTCAAAGGAATGGCTTTCTCTAAAAGCAGGACCTGTTCATTAGTAATGGGGAGTAAAGCCACAGAACCTAAGATGTGTGGAGAAGAGTTCAAGGAAACAGATGAAACTTGACAGCTGTAGTAGATGCAAGATGGCATAACAATGCAGAAACATCATGCTATAAAGATCTCCTGGCCCAACAGACCCCTCACACATCATTCTACTTATTATTTGTCAATGTTTAATTTTAGGCAGCTCTGGTTATTTGGCTCTATTTAGAGGTCTAATGGCATGAAATCTCTGATGCTGTGTACTATTCACCCATAGTCCCAGCTTCCCTCTCGTTTTGTTCTGGGATTACTTTCTTTGAAGGGAAAAGATGTAGCATGGACATTCAGCTCATGTGTCAAAGACCTTTTCATATACTGCTATCTTTCTCATATAGTTACCTCCGCTCTAATGGACTATTGGTACCCAGACTTTGTACTGGGCAAGGTAAGGGGAGACAGGGAGACGCCTACAGAACCTGTCAGGTCTGGCAGTGTGTCATCTAGAGATAGCTCATTTTCCTGTCATTGGTGGTGCAGGGTTGACCCGTGAATCCCAGTTCTGCAGGAGGACAGGTGAGTAGAGCTGAAGGGGACGACATGAGGCACTCTGCAGCTTGCCCTTCTGTCAGTTCCAGAAGTGGCTCCTGGGCAGCTCACCGGGACACGTGCTCTGATGGGTGTTATCACCTCCTCTCATTTCCACCGAATGAACAGATACCAGGTCACCATTTCCTTATTACTTTAGGGAGCTGATGTATTTGGCAATCAGTAACCCTGGCCCCACTGGCGTGTCACAAACACCCTGTACAATATGAGCTATGGGGTTCCACCCCATGATTCACCACTACAGCAGGAAACGTGTGGCTGCCCCAGCCTTGAGTACTTAGGCACCAGCACCCAGCATGGCTGGCTCTGGTCCCAGGGGCAGCTGCCTCCCCACAGCAGTTGGCACCAGCAGCCCCTGCTCTGTTGAAGTCCATGGTGGGGGGGCTGTGAGGTCCAAGGAGCAGGTGCAGACAGGACTGTTCTGTGGGGAGCAGCCAGGCTGGCACAGCGAGCTGTCTTGGCTCCAGACTGTGCCAAGCTTGCAGGGCCCATCCTGCCCCCAGGCCTGATGGGTTTCTTTGGGGGTCTGAGGCACTCTCACCATTTCCATGCCGGCACACAGGATGGCTCTGGGCAGCCAGCCATAAGGTGGGGATGGTTCCCAGGGCACTGCAGCACAATGGGGCGAGCAAGGGTGACACACACGGTGACCAAGCTTGACCTGGCGCAGCAGGAGCACAATGCAGGATTGACATGTCAGAATCTTTATTAATAAAAAAAGTTACAATAACTTACTCCCTTTGTCACACAAAGGGCTCAGTATAAAGAGCTCTGGCCTCCTAAGGTAACACAAGTAACTGAGAGGTGGGTACTTTTATCCTCTGAGACAGTGGCTCCGAGGGTAAGTATGGCCAGCACAGGAGCCACAGGCCAGTGGGGCCTTTGCCACAGGGGCTGGCCCAGGAACAGCCTTCTGCCTCTGCCTGCAGCTGGTTCACAGGCAGCATAGACCACCACAGGGTGCAGATGCTGACTATATGGAGACCAGGGGGACTGGATGCGAGAGGGTGTGCAGGCTGTAGTGGAGGAGGAGAGGAAGTGGCATCTTCTTCCCATAGTGCTGAGGCTCTCTGGAGCACAAAAATTGATGCAGCAAGACAGTGGCTGCTTGCAGGCAGGGGGATGTGGGGCTGGCTGGAAGCAGCCTTGTCTGCCTGGCTGCTGCCTCACACAAGGTCTAGCCTGACAGAGGCAGGAGGCCAGCTGTGGCTACTTGTCGCACTCCAGATCCTGGGCTCCCTCAGCACCCTGGTAGTGCATCTCACAGAACTCCTGAATGCGACTGCAGGCCTCCAAGATCATCTCCTCAGGCATGGTGATCACCACTCGGAAGAAGTTTGGGTACTCAAAGCACTGAAAGAAGAAAAGATGAAGCTGGCAGATTGCCTGGAGTAGTGCTGAAGTTTCAGAGACCTGCCTTGGGGCCATGTGCTGCATCAGCAAGTGAAAATGGTCAGTGTAAGACAGCAGGGCTGGGCTCATGCTCCCTTAGACTGTTTTTTTTTGTTGTTGTTTGAAGCAAGTCTCCTGCCTGCGTCTGTGTAGATATGCTGCTGTGAGGGTGATAGGCCCAAGAACTGTCTGTGTGGACTGTGCAGACCCAGGGAATGGACTGAGAGGAATTAGTGAAGGAGAGGGCTTGAGAATATTTAAGACACTGTCCACATCCAGTGCTGGAAATGGAGCTGGAAGAAGGTGAACACAGGGCACAGACGTTCTCAGCCTTCCTTGTGCCTACAGGGGCTGGGGGCTGCAAACAGGCTGAGGAAAGGAACACAGGTGGGAGCAGCTCCAGATCTCTGAGGGAGCACCTTCAGCAAGAAGGTGGGGGGGTACACAGAGTTCAGGGATACAGCTCTGCCAACTTGAGCAATACAGAGCAAGCCTGGAGCTGGGAAGATCCTGGCAGACTGACTGAGGGCTATGAGCCAGACCGCCACATACAGCACCTGGAGCAGCAAGTCAGCTCATACACACTATTGAAGACCATGGACACTGCATACACAACTCCCAGCCTGCCCTCAGAGCTCAAGGATGCAAAACCCTGCAGCTTCTCCTGCCATGCTTTGGACCTGCAGCTCCCTGGGCTCTCAGTGTGAGGCTCACCGTGGCTGGCAGGCAGAACACAGACTGCTCTGAGATGAGTCGCTCAGTGAACTCCACATCATTTTCAAACTCTGGGAAATGCTCCATCTCAATCTCGACCTGCAGCAGAGGGATATAACATGGCAATCAAGGGCACCAAAACTATCTGCAGTGTCCTTGTGTACACACACGGCCCAACAGCTTCCCAGTCAAGTGCAGCTGTCTGCCCTCAATTTTTTGGGCTGACTTGAATGTAAGATACAAACAGAAACATATTAATGAAAGCTGGGCTTGTCAAGAAGCCTTCATTAACTACCTAAAGCTGGAATTTCAGTTAAGCACAACTTCAGTAAAAAGCACCTGATGGCAAAGATACAGTAACCAATTAAAAGTGAAAAGGAATAAATAAAGCATTGAAAAAGAGCTCGGTAGAGAACTTAATATACATTAACAATTCTGTCATGCAGGAAATCCATATGGTAAGAAAAAGACAAACTAATGTTTTGGTTTAAAAAAAAATAAGGATAGTAAGGCATATAATATCATGAGCAAAATAAATCCTTGTCGAATTATATGAAAAATTTAAAATTATATGAAAATGTGAAAATCTTCAGTAAATATTTCTGTTCTGTATCTGGAAAGAAGGCAGCTGTCCATCTGTCAGTTAAAGACAGTGCTATGCTGGCCATTCATTTATAGAATTCTGGAATTATTTGGGTTGGATGGGACCTTAAAGCTCATCTAGTTCCAACCTCTCCAGTGGGCAGGGCTGCCACCCACTAAATCAGGTTGCTCAGGGCCCCATCCAGCCTGACCTTTATAACCAAAAATTATTTTAAACATCTCATGAAAATATTGTTAAACACATAATTTGTGAAACAATTTGCATGCAGAAGTTCTGAAAGAGTTGGTAGGAAAAAATATACCAGATGATCTAGTTTGAAATAAATGTTCAGCTACTGCAGAAATATAATAGGTGTGAAAGAATCTTAGAGCTGTGCCTCTACAGAAAGAGCATGAGCAGAATGACCTTTGTAGCTCTGGGTAAAACTGGAAATAAGTCAACTGATAAGGATTTCTCTATAGAACATGAGTGAGACTGATACTGTAGTATTCCTCAGTTCTAAGCCCACGTTTTAAGATCTGATGAAAAACTGGAGACATCATGAGACAAAAAAAAAATAAAAGATTCAAAATGCATTAAAGTGTCGTAAATGTCTCAATTGAGCTTGATGAGATGAAAAAGGAAATTTTAGAATATTATAAAAAGTTAAAACAAACAGGCATGGTAAAAGGTATAAAAAGAGGCAACACCATAGGCAGAAGACAACACATGCTACTATGAAGAAGGCTACATCTTCTACAAGAGGTATGAAAATCTGCCTTGTAGTGTAGAGGCTTCCCCTTGCCACCTGAGTTCAAATCCAGGTAAAACAACATTGTCTTGCAAAGTACAAGTCATGGATCTCTGTGCAGGAGCAAGCAGATGAACTGTACTGGCCTCAGCTCTGTGAACAGCATATTGTGACCTTCTAAAGTGACATGGGGATGCATCTACTGCAGAGGGCAATGTGGAAATGCACATAGTAAGGGAGATCTGGTGCCAACTACCAATCTGAAACATCAACAAGCACTAGCAATGAGACCTATTGTGAATGTTGGTGGTCTGGAAATGGCACATCACTCCTCACTTACCATGAGGTACATGGCTCCAGAGGGCCGGACAGGCTGAAGGCCAGGGATAGCTGATAAGGCAGCATAACAAAGGTCAGCATTGGACTGAAAAGCAAAAAAGAGAAATTTCAAAACAGGAGAAATTCCAGGAAGCAGCTCAGCAAATGGAAGCCAAGCTCTGAACTGGGACTATAAGCAGGTTTGCCTACTGCAAACAAAGGCACAACAAATGTAAACAGCATGAGAGATCATGGCCTTGAGCACAGCAGGTGTTACTGAGCTGAGCTCAGCAAGTCAGTGCCAAATGCTACATTTATCCCCTGGGTCAGCAACTCCAGCTGCAGGGCTGGGCTGCCTGAAACTCACGCCAGCCAGTATTACTGCCTCAGTTACAATGTCTTCCGCTGGAATTTGATTTATTGGGCTGTCCTAGTCACAGACAAAACTGCACCTCAAAGTGAGGTGGGGAAGGATGATGAGCTAGAGATATGACTCCCTGAAAACAATCCGTGAACAAACCTTGCTGCTCTGTTACAGCCTGTTTACCTTGAGGATGCTTAGGGTGTTGTGGTAGAACTCAGGTGGTGTTCGGCGCAAGATGCGCTCCAGTGCTCCTTGGACAAGTGTACAGGGTCCTAGGATCCTTTGACTCAGTCTTACAAGGCCATCCCTGATCTGAGAAAACATCATGACACAGCTCAGATGATGCTTCCCTTAAGGAAAGGGACAGCTTCAAGGCCCACTTTCTGTATTTCTACAGCTGTTCACACCCCTCTCTTCAGTGAGCATACAGAGCACTAAAGAACATTTGCTTGACTATATACCATGTTTTGCAGACTATTTACAGTGCCATTCTCTGTTCCTCATTTGCAGATTGTAATGCCAACAGAGAAAACCTTTGGGGCTTCCCAATCTGACTCAAACCAGGCTGGAATATAGATAATACAAATAAAGCCAGAGCTGTTCCAAATACCACTTTGCATTTCCCTTAGTTTTGGACCCACAATGCACACTTTCAAAGCCAGGTAAGGACAATCAACATTAGCTTTTCTGCTCACTCATTTGGTCCTCTCTTCTCCCTCTTCTTCTGCAGAGAGCCTTCTAGGTGGAAAGGTCACTGCAGTAGATGGTTGTTCTTGTAACACAGCTGAAAAATAGCCAGATAAGGCACTGGCAGCACTGCAAGGTGCTTTGTGCTTACTTTTAAGAGAAACCATGTAAGAGCACATAGACATCACACGTGGACTCCACATGCTGGATAAGTCATGCAACACTTTCAGTGCACATTGCAGCTATTTGAGAAGAGAATTTAGGTGTACACAAGAAGGACAAGGCATGTATTAAGGAACAGCAGAAACAAGGAGTGTATTACAGCGTAGTGTGGTTGGAAGGCCATGTCTGGGAGCAGATGGAGTAAGGAAGGGACATGAAGGGCCTAGAGGTGCATAAACATATGTAAAATCAATTCGGTGACACCGATGTGAGAGCAAAAGAGCAGTACCTGCCTGTGTCAGTCAAAGACCTGGTGATCCACACACTGAAGTCTGCAAGTGTGTTGCCATGACAGCAACACTCAGCGGTTCTCACCTCATTACCAAAGATGTCTCTCCTGTCATGAATTAGGATCCAGCCCATCCGCCAGCCAGGGACTAGCCACCGCTTTGCCAAGCCACCACAGGACAAGATTGGCACATTGGTGCTGAGAGTTGCAATGGGTTCAAACTTGCAATCAGCAAACACCTGTGACAGGAGACTCTGTTAGGGCTGAACCTGCCTCTTATTGTGAGAATTGTTGGGGTGTGCATGAGACTTAACA